GTCAGCCCTTGCTATAGACACCGTTTCTTGGTTTATGGAGGGGTCCAGAGTTGCAACATGACTCTGGAGTATGTACTTTCATCGCACTTCGCCCTGTCATGTGAACTTCAATTGAATGCATGAATTTAAATCGTCTGCTTTTCGCAACAGGGACGCTGGCTACAGCCGAATTCAGGTTTATTCGCTCGAGTAAATTTGTCAGAAGCAGAGGACGTATCCAAGTAATAAGCAGCTTATTCATAGACAGCGCTGAATCAACAATTATGCAAAAGTGACGGAGATGATATAATTATGATTTTATTACTAACTGGTTAACTATATGGTTAATGCTATTCGAGATATTTCTAATCACCCTGGAAAGGAAAAATTAAGTCTGAAGCTAGATGCGATTTCGTCCTGGCTGGTACTGCATTAAAGCACGAAAGTGACTATGTATATCATTTCGAATTGTTATGTTGAGTCGAACTACAGAATGCACGGTCAAATCAAAAACCATTTTTCGAAAAATTTCCATTTTGCTAAATGTACAGTGGCAAGGTAAAGGAATACAGAGTTAAGAAAATGCCAACAAATAGTTTTCTAGTGCTCTGATTCGGTTCTGAACTGTGGTACTTCGTTCCTGAGGTCTTCCAAAAGTGAAAAACACGGCTGATATTCGAACTTGCTTCATCTTACTTAGCTTAATGGTACTCCAGTGGCATGAATGACACTTCTGCGTCATCTCTGTCTTCTCTGATCTGGTTGTCTTATCTTCTCTTCAGTGTAACTATACTAATAACCGCCATAAGTTCAAAAGTAAGTAGAGTGATGAAAGGATTTTAGGATATTTCCCTCAGGAATTAATACATATCACAGCTTTTGTAATTCCTTTATAATTTAAGCGTCGTTCTGTTTAGAGGGTTTCCTAACTTAGTTATGGAAGGTACTAAATTATGTTTCAAAAGGATAGCGCATTTCTGCTGTTTTGCTAACCGATCTCATGGGATTACCGACTACTCGTATAGACTACCATAGAAAGTCGGATATCCAAGTTTCATTCTGCTTCATTACAGTATGTAACTCTTTCAACTTTTCAAAACCAACAACATCTCTGAATCGTTAAAGTTTCGCATCTTCATCGATTAGGATTTCGCTCAAGAATTAAACGTTTCGAAACAGTTTATGAGGAAATGAAGAACTGAGGAAATTAAACTTGTGCCTCAAGTGCATTTGCATCAAAAACGTTTTTCAGAAAATTTGCCGGAGGATTTCTTTGGACCCACTCGAAATTGCTGCCACCTTCGCTTAGGAGGAAAATGAAAATAAAAAGAAATGGAGGGTAAGTGATTTCCTCCAAGAGGACCACTTTCCAACCACACTTCGACCAGTCGCGATCTACAGCATTGATCGTCTGGAAAGATCATAATGTTTTATTTGCACTCCTAGTTCTGGCACTAGTACTGACGCAATTCAGAGAGTGCAACGGCAGAATACATAGAATGCAGACGTAGAACGGTGCTGTTGGATTTTGTGTCATTGTCAGACACTAAAAGTTGCTCAGCTGATTTGGCTTTCCGTGATCCATTTGCAGGTTCCCCGTCAGGGAGAGCTGCCAATGCTCAGACTATGGAATCGAACAGCTGATCGAATTATGAACAAGTGTATCCTCTCAAATGACAAAAATAGTCGTGAATATATGTGTTCAAAATTGGTTGGTTAACGAGATTATTATAACCGGAATTGACCGTGCTTCTTCTGTCCATGAGACAGACCCGCCGAGAGAGGAGAACCCTGGACACGTTGATTCTAAAGTGAGACAAGCCAATTAGGGGCCTAGGTTCGTGTTAATCAGTCTGAAACAAAAACGCGTGAAACTTTCACTGGTTTGCAGCCTGCTCTATGGACAGAATAGTTATAGCTCATCATGATGATGGATTGCAGATCTGGTTAACGACTCTAGATTTGGAATATTTTGGAGGAAACAATATTCGTCATGTTTTGGATTGTTAAACTTTAATAACTCCGTAATAAATATAAACATCAAGGTTGTTGATACAACGCAGCACGCCAAATTGCGAATGTCTCCTCCAAGACCAGGATTTACGACGTTTTGGGCCGTTCCTGCTCCGAGTCTTCTAGGGGGTTATTTAAGTAAGCCAGGCTAAATGATATTAGAGCACCAGATGTATTTAACGTGTACAGACGGTGGAATACGCCTGAAAATTTTGTTTTAGAGCAGTGACTCGTAATCTGACATACGCCGGTAAACGAACAATTTATGACGATTAAGCGATATAAGAGTAATTCGTGAAACATCGTTGGTAATGAGAGTGAGGGGCAGTGCAATACAGCGTCAAATATGGTTTGGGAGTAGTCATTCATAATGAATATATCATATCATGAGGTGATACATCAAGTGAGTCAGATGAGCATAAATATAGATTTTCTGTCAACTTCTAAAAATCCTCACTTTAGTCTAAGCGCAGTGTGCGTTAAATGCTCTGATTGAGCCAGAAACACGAAACCACGTGCACCACTTCCTCAGCACCATGATTCATATGAGCATAAGGGCTAATAAGACATTTGAAAAACATAAGCTCATTCAAAACCGAGAAAGACACTGCAGTATGCAATTTCAGATACGTTATTCACGGTAGAGCTAGAAGAATTTTCAAGAAACTTCGGTGTGAAAATCAGCGATTGAAGTTGATTGGACTCAAATCAAAACAGTTTCAATTTGCTGACTATATTCTCATTGGCATAACGATTTAGAAAGAACTACAGAAACGAGGTCCTGCGTTGAATGATTCTATCTTCAACGAACCTGAAAATGAATCTGACGAAAACCCATATCATAAGAGCTCTTCAAGCCATAGGTTTGCCGCTTGAAGAGGAGCAAACAGTGATATATTTTTCGGAGTTGATTTTCGCAGCTAAATAAGCAGAGGAATAAAAATTGCGTGGAACACATTTGTCAGAAAGATAATGTTCTTAATGTTCTCGCATCTAGAAGCAAGGGAGCTCTGCAATCAGCTGTTGGTGTAAAGTGAGAAATTGATTTTTCTTTCTTTACACTCTGCATTCTCCGTTTAAATCCGCTCTCATTATTACTTTTAATGTGATGTACTCAGCGACGGTATCGATAGCTCTCCAGAACATCGGAGGTCAATTCTGTCACTCTTTAAACCTACTGATCGAGAGAGCGTTTCTTGTTCGAGACGCGGTCCTACGTCCTATTCACTGTAGGAGCTTAAATACCATGGAACCGTCGCCTGCGTAGATGGCCCCATTGGCGTCGAGAAACAGGGGGCGGTGCAATCAGCTGCTGGTGCAAAGTGACAAATTAATTTTTCTTTCGTTGCACTGTGCATTCTCCGTTTGAATCGGTTATCATTATTATTTTTACTACGATGATGTTCTTACCTGGGGAAAAACCCCTGTTTGAAATGGAGGGCAGTTGATCGATGGTTGCTTTCAGTGCTAATGAACAATAAGCATGAAAGCAATTCAGCATCCAACGCAGTTAGAAAAGTGTATGATGGAACTTCTATGAAGAAGCAATGAAACAGACGAACGAGCAGAGAACAGCACAGAAAGGGTCTGTAGTACGGGTATAGGAGCAAAGGAGCAAAAATGACAATGATACGGACATGCTGGAAACCGAAAGAGCACTGCTGTATTTTAAACAGATGCCAGGTCGTTTTTCAAGAGGCAATTATGGTTCATGCGAATACAAATTGGTAGTCTGAAAAATCACTACTCTTTTGAAATAACCTAGATGAGGGATGGTAGGACTAAATCATCTGACAAAGACTTGAAAGGACTTCCGCCATCAGTACTACCAGCCATTACGTACAGTATCCTCTGAGTTCTAAACAACTGATGCCAGTAGTCGTCGCACGATTTTGAGGTCGAACTGAATATAACAAAATGTGTTAAATCAAAGGATGGAAACTGAGCCATGATGAAAAGAGGCCTGATTAATATCTCAACCTTGTTTCGAATGACTCTACGGTTGGTCAGTCCGCAGGCTCTGAATGACTGTTAACGATTTCTAACAATGGATGAAGGTGACTATATATTTTCATGGCCCGTTTAACCGAACATCTTACATATATCCCATATGTGACTCAAAAAATTGCTGACGTAAAATTGGGTCAAGAGTTCAAGATGACCATTGCAAGAAGAAACGGCCGTCCCTTCCACACTATTGGTGAGGTTCCGATTGTCCGTTTAAATGCAAATATTTAATTGCATTATTTTTTGCATTTGTTCTGACATACAGGCGCATTACTACGAAAAAATAAAACGAAAGTTGGTCTCCGTTGGACTACAATTTCATGACTGGGCCATTCTGGAGCTCTCCTTTTCAAAAAGCTGATAAAGCAGCATTCATTTCTGTTTCCATGTATTTCCGATCAAACAGGAATGCCATAATATTAAAGGCAGAGTCTGCAGCTACGTAGCAAGCGCAACGTTCAGTCTCTTGTTTCCTTCCCCCAGGGCGTTACTCAATTATTAACCTTAGAATGAGGAAGGATGCGTGACCCCGATCGGTCTTTAACTCAGGACCCATAAATTCGGAGTTAAACGCTCTACCGACTGAGGAACCACGGTCTGAAGCAATGTGTGGTAAATTCCTGCTCAAGAGAATTCATGAATCTGACATAGATCCCTCCTTTGAGTGGAATCAACCCCCCCAGCCTCATTACAGACCTCTAGTCAAACATTGCCCGAAAGATACACGGAATGAATGACAAAGGCAGAAGATATATAGTGAACTCCTTAGTCGGGCGACCATTGTTAAGTTTCCTCAGTAGACAATACGAATGGATAATTTGTTTCTCATCTTAAGACAGGCATGGAATCGAACGATCCGTCTTTCGCGCATTTACCCGATTGTGGCTGCGTAGATTCTTTGCGAGTGTCAATGGAAAACGGGGGCCAATCGGCTGTGCATCTTAGTATTTAGGTTTCATCGCCGGTGTGGTGGTCCGTCTGTTGGTGATCGTTGCTGGCTGTCAAAAGTCATCGTGACCTTCTTCATGGCAGTGGTCGATCGTTAATTGCAATCGGTCGCTAACCTCCACCAGCTTCCAGTTCACGAGGTTCAACTCGCAGCGTTCCCGTTGCCATGGTGTTGTTCGGCCGGCCTGCTGCCTGGATCGATCGAGTAGGAAATTCGTTGTCGACTCTGACTGAAGATCAGTCACAGACGAACGGCCATCGATGATCGCCGCTCGTCCGGCAGTCGGGCACTGCCGCCATGTTTCGCACCGTGAGCGATTTGCCTTCATCCTGAGTGAGGAGGTGTGGCTTTTGCAGAGGAGTCGACACCCGTAAAGATCAGGTATTTTCTAGATTACTTCGTTAATGTCCACGTCTGTACTTTGTAGCGAGTCAGGTTTGACGAAACTGGCTTTTTGTAAAGTACTAAGTCTCTGTGAATAGTAAAAACATGTACTGTAATTCTGATTGGCTTTCATGCCTTCAGACACTTACATTATTCACCTCATCCCGCATCGTTTGGAGGTACGTCGTCCGCGTGATGTTATTGTTCAAATCAAGAGATATCCTCCAGTTACGCACTTGATGTCTTGTCTTTATGGGACAAGAGAGAGGCTGAGCGCTGTTTCATATCTACGACACTTCCGTCAGGCACGCCGTAGAACCAACTCCATTTGCCAACGGTCATAAGTAGTGCAGATGCTGCCCAGGAACGGGGTGAAAGCGGCAGTGTTCCCAAATGTTGTCTGGTACGGAATCGCAGTTTCACAACTGACTGTACGGTTGCACCAATGACGACTGTTTCTTGCAAGCATTTCCTCTGTGAGACTTCAATTTTGTGCAGGTTTTCCTCGTTGGAGAAACTTGTTCGGGAATCGTGGCAGTAGCTAATGGTTTCCTGTGCAGCTGACGAGAAAATAGTGCCATTCAAATTTGCCGAGCAGTAAATTTCTCCTCTGGCTATGTTATCTTCGTCAAATGAGGATTATACGAAACATTTTCGACAGCCATTAATATCTGTATCGCAGCATAAATCTGACATCACCTTTCAAATGCGAATAAGAACCCACATCAGTTCATATATCCGGAGAAGAGCCTTGAATCTGAAGCCAGTAGATCGAATTAAGATTGCGTTTGCCTTTATGTGCTCAAGAAAAGAAGCATAATGTGTGCATTCGAATCCCAAAGTTTGTAGGGCCATTCATTGGTATTGAGGTAATCTCAGAGATACAAATTATCATCATAAGATTCTGACAGACAATTGGCAACTGTGCAGTTGTCAGATCAGATACCTGAATAACTTGGTAATTATTTTTCTCAATGATATTACTTGTGCCGGTAACAAAACTCCTCATCTGAATCAAAACCGATCTTTTCTCTTGAGCTTGATCGACTCATTCCATAGATCACTCCAATATGTTCTGAAAATTGCCAACTTGCTGGCATTCCCACGCAGGATTCCAACATCGGCGCGAATTCCGATCATTGTTATCATGCAACACAATACCATTCATGGACGTTTGAAATCTTTTCTGTTTGAGTCACCATTCATATTCATAATGGAGCTTAAATAATAAATGGAAGTTACCTGGACGGAAATCACCGCGAAGTGAGATATCGATGAGAACAGAAAAGGGGATGAATTGAGCATAACATTTCGTAAGGTTTTTGATAATTACGCTTAGCATCTCATCACTGCATATTTCTAGCTGACGGAGGTGGAGTGGAGTAACAGATGGAAAAACTAACAGTAAAT